AACACAAAAACCCAAACCCACGGACAAACACAAAAATGACTCAAACAACCCTCTCAGCCTAAAAAATATGAGACTCTTTGGCAATTAATTGTAGTTGGTTTTGATTACATATTGATTTGATTAGTTGAATATATTAATTATTAGTGCTAAAATATTTTGTAAAATAATTATTTATTATTATTATTTTTTTATACATAAAATAATTAAAAAATTTATTATTAGTTATTAAAAATTACAAAAGAATTATTAAAATATTTTTTGTTGTTATTTTTAAGTATTTTTGTGAAAAAGTAATATATTTTTATTATGGCATAGTTAGTTGGGGTTGATGATAGTTTTATATATATTTTGTTTATTAGAAATGGTAGTTGAAAAAAAAAAGAATAATCAAAATAGTTTTGAATTTTGAGTAAATAAATATTTAAATCCGTTTGGACGACGAATAACAATGGTGAGATTTGAACACAAGATTTCTCAACTCTATACCAAATTAGATGGCGTTAAGTAGAACTGTCAAAATAGATTGAGCCCGTCAAATTGGCCCAACCCACCTCACTTTTAAGAAGTATTATAATGTAATTTTTAAGTTCGTTAAAATACAGACTTAATTATTTGAGCCAATTCATAGAGGGCGTGAGTTGAAAGAAAAAATACATTCATCCAAAACACAGAGTGAACTCATCCTAAGTAAAAATATATCAAGCAAAATACTCACTCAAGATGTAATGTGCAAATAAATCTCTTGTTTTATTTAAAATAAAAGATAAGACTCTATGAGCTCATTTCTTATTTGCCAAAGTAATTGACTACATGTTAGCTGTTTCTTTTAAAAATTTTGACTAGATTATAGTTCAAATTTTTATTTAACTATCAATTGGATCAAAGAGGTGAGGATTTACCTAACTGTTTTGTCTATTGAAGTTCATCTTGATTTTGCTATTGAAATTGTCATGGTTTGATTTGTTGTCAAATTAATATTTTTGTAAATTCTTTTTTAATCTCATAAAATTCCACCAAAAAAAAAAAAAGTTTGTAGAATATGAGTGGCGGTAGCCGGTCATGAAGGTACAATAGAATGTGTAATAAAATTCTTAATAGAATGCGTCTGCATGTGTTGAGTGGATACATACTGATGCATCTCAATCTTTCATGAAGACATCGGAAAAATTGGTATGTAATTATTTACTTATTTATTTTGATTAATATTCATCCGGCTTACTGACTAATATATTATTTGTCATTCTAAAACGAGGTTCAATAAGGTTGGTATATATACGTGGACCCAGACCAAGGAACATAATCGGAAGTATTATATAAACTTACGATCAAGACAAGTTGTAATTTATTATGAAATCAAGAGGCTAAAATGTTGATAGTAATCTTTTTTTAAAATTTGATATTTAATGTCTTACTTCAAGTACAATCAAAATGAATTGTTTCTTAACCTAGTACCGTGTGATAAGAAAAGTCGTATTCAAGAATCGAGAGAAAAGTCGCATTCAAGGATTGAGATTATTGGCTTCGACAATCCTTCATGTAAGGTCCTCTCATAGTGCTAGCAACGGGCACACTACAAATTCATTTGCTAAAAATGATCGATTAAAGAAGGTAGAAGACAATGTTGTGAATATCCACAATCACATGTCTCGTGTGGACAAACGAATGACTAACTTGGATGTTCAGTATCAAACTATAATAAATTAGAATTTTACTATAATGTAAGGGCTTTGGCTTTTAGACAGACGCAAGGCGGTGACTTCTACCAATATGATCCTGATTCTAATCACAATCATTCCATCACAATCTATTTTGCTCGAGTATTTGCTATGACATTCCGTAGCAAAAAATTGTGGCGAAATCGGTTACAATTGATAATCCAGTCGAAGAACATTATTTAAAATCAAATAATGTGTAATGGAAGACACACCCAAGGTCCACCAAACTGTAAAAAAAAAAAAAAAAAAAAAAAAAAAAAAAAAAAAAAAAACCAAACTATTTCATAAGAAGGAATTAAAAAAAAAAAGTTGATTATCCAATCGAGAAATATTATTTAAGCTATCGAAAAACACACAATACATACAATACAGTAACACACACTCTACTATATTTTTACTATTTTTAGCTTGCATTTAAAGTTTATCCTTAGAGTCTTGTAACTTATACATTGTTTATGCTAATTCGAGCTTGTTTATTGATGATTCATGTTAAACTTATGTCGTCTACTATCTCTTACGCTTGTCAATACAGTTAGATCGGACACTTTTAACTTTATCGTTCAAAAACATTGCGTGTTCCTTGAAGATTTTGATCCTGAAGCCATTTGATAATCCAACGATAGACAATCTTTGTAGAATGTTGTTGGGATCCATATCGATTGATTTAGGTGCATCAAGTAAAAATGTTTGGACCAACGCGGAATTCATTTTAGTTCCAAAAGTTATATTTTCTCTTTTTTGTTTCCAATATTCATTAATAATAATTTATTTTTCTTAATGCTAAAATTGATATGATAGATTTTTTTTATAGTTAATATATTATATAGAAAAAATTATTAAAAATATCACATCAATTATTTATTTATGTTATATTAAACAATTATTACTGTTCAAAATTTTTGTTAATACCCCATCACATAAAAAAACACAACAAAAACAATTTATTTATTTATTTATTTTAGACTAGAATATTCACATTGACCCATAATAAAGAGATCAATATCTAGTAACTAACCACCAAGTAACTACTGGAAAAAAATAAAATAAAATTATAACCATATTTATGCCTTAAAATTTATTTTTGGATTATTTATAAATTATTTAAAAACAATATATACAAAATTTACTTTTATTTAAAATATTATATCTAAAACTCTAAAAAGATATCTATTTCCATCACATAAAATAGTTATTTTTTTATTCAATTTTTATTAATTTTAAATTAATCAAAAATTCTAAATTAATGAATAATGTTAATTCCTAGACTTTAAATTATTTTTATTTAATTGGAATTTAGTTATTTTCAATGTATTTTTCTTTTTAATTTCGATTTGGTTCGACTGCAAAATATTTTCGATTAACTGAAAATTCAATTAACCAAAATTTTAGATTCAAATTAAGTTTACGATTTCGGGTACTTGCTCTATTCGATTTCAATATCAAATATCTTCACATTTGCAAATATCATATCCACCCCTACTTGATATAATATAAATAGTATTCTTAATCTAAAATTAAATTTTTGTTATAATTTTATAATGAGTTAGGTGTGGCAATGCAAAAATCTTACCATTAAACCATATTTTTATTTTAATAATTATTTCATTAGTTAATATATAATATATTAAATTTTAAATATTAATTTTAATAAATCGAATTGGACTAAACACATTTTTATGGATTCAGACACGGACCGTTCATTGACGTGCCGAGCCAAGCACAACTCGAAAAGTATACTTTAGGAAAATTCACATTTGCCCCCACTTCTTATAGGATTATTTATTTATTTATTTTTGTGTCAAAGAAATTAAGCTAAATTATATAACATTCTCTTATATTTTAGTAGAAATGCACAAAATACTATAAATTTATATTTAATCCATCTTGATATTTATGTCCGTTAATTCAAAAAGTAAAGTCCATATTTGCTTATATTAATCAAACAAATTTATAATTCAATGTCTTATTATTTGCAAAGCAGTAAAAAAATAATCCAAAACATTTTGTAATATAGTTTAAAAAAAATCATTAATAAGAAATAGTGAAAACCTAAACAAAAATCATATCATACCTATTCCCTCTTTTAAAATGTTACAACAATAATTCACTTTAAAAATATAAAATCAAAACAAAATATAAAAATATAAACTAGTGTGTTTGTTTAAATCTTAATTTAAAATATAAAAAATTGCATTGATGATATAAAAAAATGATATTAATTAAAAAAAAAACACCTTATTTAGGTGAACAAATTCTATATAACACATTCATCTTAAAAAAAGACAATACTCCCTCCTCCGTGCCATAAATAAATATCTATTTGTTTTTTACACGTAGTTTTAAAAATATTAATATTATATTAAAATATAATATGAATAAAGTAAAAATGACTAATATTATATTGAGATATAATAAGAATAAAGTAAAAATGACTAAAATAATCTTATTATATGTGATACAAATGTAATAACATTTGTGTAATATATCGTAAATTGTAAATGTATTTGTAATGTTAAATAAATAGTACTATTACAAAAAAAAAAATGATACGTTATTATAGAATGGACTAAAATGAAAAAATAAATACTTTGATTGGAAACAAAAAGAGTATTTTATTTAAAAAGATTCTTTTAATGTAAATTATAAAAAAATTGTATCTATAATATAGAATATAATATTTTATATTTCATTTGATAAAATAATTTTTTATGTTAAATATTAATTTTTGTAAAAAAAATAAAATATAAAATTAAAGGCAAACCAACCCGTCATTTTCTAATTCATATGTTTTTTGGCAGGTTTAGGAAAACCCACAACCCTAAAAATTATACTTAGACATAATTTTTTTTACTTGAATTATTTTTAAAGAATATATATCAACATTGTCTATTTTGATTTCTTATTAATAAAGTACTGTAATCCACCGTCCCAACTAAAAACTCTTTTTACTAATCACTCCCATTACAGTACATCTTGTTTACCATTTTTGTTCGTCCCACAACAATAATCTTGTTTCTTTAAATAACCATATCACCATAAAATTACCAAAAAAAATTTTATACATACTTTTTACCTGGCTACCAATAAAATTACCAAAAAAAATTTTATACATACTTTTTACCTGGCTACCAATATAAAATTCAAACCTAATACTGACAGCATATTATACAAAAAAAAAAAATAGCACATAATATGACAGCATAACTCATTTCAGCAGATAAATGTCTATACAACCCAACTTATAAATAAATAAAAACTATCAGCACATAATTTCAAAAGTAAAAATGCCAAAATCTGAAATTCATAAATTAAAACAACCTTAGAACAGAAAAGAAGAAAACAACTATCTGCAGTCTGCAATATGAAAGTGAACACAAAACAAGACATTGTCATGTATTTGAATTGGCCCCAAAAAACTATGAAGTACCAGACAAAGTTCATAAAAACACAACTGCAGTAAGTAGCACAATACCTTAATCGAACAGGCTGAATCCCATATCGTCATCAGACTCCTCGGCCGGCTCATCTTTCTTCTCCTCCTCCTTGGGGGCAGCAGCACCAGGCGCAGCTGAGTCAGCAGCTGCAACAGGAACAGCTGCAACTGCAAATTTGCTAGGATCCTGCATCAACAGTGAAGCATTAAAGGGATAGTTCCAATCACAAATCAATAATAGTAAAGGGAAATATAACCAATCGTACTGCAAGGTACTCCTTGACTTTGTCTGCTTGGGGGAAGGAGTAGTCAGTTTCGACTGCAACAGCCAAAACATTCTTGTAGGCGTTGATGAACATGTGAGGCGCAGCAGCCAGGGTCGGGTATGAAATGGCAAGGGACAGGGCAGTGACCATAGCGACACCAGAGGCGAATTTCTCAATTAGATCCTCTTCAGTCATGTCAAGCACCTCAGGGCTGAAGACAGATCCATTTTCGTACACGGTCCGAACAATGAGACCGTATGAGAAGGGCCTGATTCCAAGTTTTGAAAGCAGTGCAGCTTCGGAGGAACCCACTTTGTCGCCCTTCTTGATAAGCTCCACTGGGGTGATGATTTCAACCGTTCCCTTGTTAATCTTGGTGGGAATGTTGAGCACCTGGAAGAATAGATGAAGAAATTAGAATCTCATTACTAAAAAGTAATGTGAAACAATAATGCAATAACAATATATGGACCTGAAAGAAAGAGGTCTGGGATGGGTCGAGACCAGTGTTCCCAGGGGGGACAATGACATCAATAGGGGCCACAAGACCAACACGAGCTGGTGCTCCAACCTGTTGAAAGGCAATGGTTGCCAACATCAAAATGGGATCAAAACAGAAGATTACAGTACAACCTTACCGAATTAACTACAACTAGTTAACATTCGAAACTCCTTATACCAGTTAGGGCAGTTAATAGTCTCCATTATTTATGAGCATCAGTTCAATCTCTTCATAGAAGTTGGAATATGTAAGAGCGCTCAATCTCATCAATCAAATAGTTTTCTACTTAAGCTTCTTTTTTTACCCATCATTCTAAAATTCTACAAAGTACAGACATTCAAACATGTGGAATTAATAACATTTTGATATAATTTTCATAACAATAAAATCCCACACTACAAATAACAATAAAACATGGAAGTACAGATTTCGGTTTAATCCTACACATTCATATTCAGAATTATTGGTTTAAACATGATCTCAACATAAAAGTAAATGTGTACCAATTCAAGGAATTTCCATAATATAAACAAGATAGCAATTTTCTATACAAACAAATTTCAGGTGATGTGCCAAAAGCATGCATTCGTAATGGACATTGATTAGAACTATGCAATAATAAAAGTATCTAATACTAATCAACAAAATAGAGCACTCATTCATTGAAATAAAATAAACGGTACAAGAACATACCTTGTACTTGGCAACCTCCTCACTAACTTCTTTTAAATCGCCCTTGGTAAAGATCAATCCAACATTGCCCTGTTCACCAATCACAGACAAACGAATACATCAGTTTTCTAATTTCAATGAGGTACTCAGCCATAACATCTTATCCCTTACAAGTAACCACATCATAATAAACTTAGATTCAAAGGCGTTCTTCAGAATGGACATTTTTAAAATATCAATCTTTTTAAAAATTTAAAAATTGCAGACATATATAACAAAATGGAATTCCTCCAGTGCTTCACGTAATCAGATTGCGTCAAATAACGTACAAAATAACAGCGATAGACAGACGGACAAGGAAACTTACAACGAGGAGAGGGATGAGGTTAAGAATAGCCTGGTTTCCCGATTTCTCGGCGTGGATGCGAATGGTCCTCTTCATCATAGTATTTTTACCCATTAGAACCACAGAGTCACCACGCAGCCCCTTCCGGATGTTCTGCAGTTGGTTGGATCCCACGTTGTCCGCCTCCGCCACCAAAACCTGCGTGTACTCATCCAGAAGCTGGCACAGCTTTTGGTCGTAGGCTATCTTCTTGTCGGCCTTCGTAAGCTTTGGCGCCATTGCTATCAACTACAAAGATTAAAGGTTCCTACCTACGAGCGTATAGTGTACAAAATGGAGGGCCAAGACGCAGCGGCGGCGGCTAGGTCAAGGCGGACAGCGGGCGGCGCCGTCACTTTAACCTCTGGTAAGATTTTAGGGAAATGGAGAGGATTAGGGTTTCGCTGCAACACGACCTTGTTTTCAATCTGAGAAAATTATTTATATACACGATGATAAGACATTATGGGCCGAATTATTGGGCTTTATATTATATGATAAAATTTAACATAGATGTGTAAATAGATTGATTAAGACAAAATGTAATTTTATAGTTAATTTTTTAGATATTATTAGATTTTTATAATAATAAAAACAATATTAATATTAATAAAAATGATTGACTTAATGATATAGAAAAAATAATATTATTTTTATATTTATATTTTAAATTTTATAATTTTTTTTTATTATAGACATGTAGTGTTATGGTAAAGAATTTTAAAGGTATATATAATTATATTATTCACTTTCTAATAAACATAAATTTAATATTTTAATATATTTACATTATTTATGTTACATTGTGTGTTTTTATTCATATATTAATTTTTTAAAATTTATACAAGTCAATATATGTATACACATCATCTCACTAAAATTGATGCGAAATCATCAATAAGTTTTAGCAAAAAACTTTATAATTTGTGAGAATAATTAAATTTAACATATAAATCAAAATTTTATTTTTCATTTTTCATTTTAAATTTAATTTATAATTAATTTTAGCTATTATGTTTAAGTTTAGAAACAATTGTTGTGCAGATAACTTGTTATTATTTTTTAGGTTAAAGATATTTTCAATTCAGACCTATTGAAAATAGCCAATACAAAACGAACGATTGTACGTTTTTAAGAATTTAAATTTTAAATTTATGCTTGAGTGTATTATTCATGTTATGTAAAATAAATGATCATATTATTTGTAAATAGATTTTTTTTTTTTTCTAAACAATTGTGCATTTTCAAGAAATTGACATTGATCATGTGAAATTTTCAACTCATGCTTAATATCAAGTTTATATAAAAATATACGATAACAGTAGAACTATGATAATAAAACTATTTCATAGGCATCTCAAATATATATTTGAGATTGAAGATTCATGCATCAAATCTATGTTAAATGAAAATCAAATAGTACATTTTATTATATATATATAACCTTAAAATATAAGATTTATATTCAATAATTTTATTATATTTTTATATAAATGGAAATACAATGCTAAAAATTATTTGATTGATTATGTTGATACTGCTTTTACATTAATTGTTTTGGTGCCTCTAATATTTGCAAGATTGAATGATATTTTTCTTGTGTATTTTACATTATGAAAGTAGATTAAGACGAAGAATGTGTTTTTATTTTTAAAAGATATCGACAATTATAAATCACATTAGGTATGTTTTTATTTTTCTATTTTTTTTAAATTCTAAAAATCTCGTATAAAAATAGTTTTTAACTAATGTTTATTATTTATACATTTGATTTGTTGCATGTATATATTTTATATTATTAAATTAAATTATTTTTTAATATTTTTTACTTATAAAACATATACATATTAATAATATAATATTAGATAAATTAAATCTAATATGATAAATAATATTATAATAATTTTTAAATTAAACTTTTTTTTTTTTTGCATATCATGGTTATTATGCTAAAAAAAAATAAAAATAGCTAAAAATACTGAAAGATATGATAATTAAAAATATAAATATAAATATAATTATTTTTGTTTAATTTTTATATATAGTTATTTTATTATATATTTTGGTATATACCGTAATACATATATATATATATAAATATTGGTATATATCAATATCGTAATATATAGTGAATTTCAGTATGATAACGATAAACAATGGTATGCAAAATTTTATATTGTTATCATATTGAAATTAGCGATATGCTATCTACCATACTAAAACTTAAGTATAATAAAAATATGATATTTTTTATGTACGATTTAGACGGTATACCACATTTTCGGTATTTTTCACCCTATAATTTAGTATATAAAATATCTATGCATAGTATAGATTACTTGCTACTAATAACATACTTGACGTTTATTTACATGAAATTTTATCCTTCATTTTGAAAAATTTTAATTGTGGTCCCACTAATCCATAATACTTCATTTGTTTTACATAAATAGTTCACTTTCTTTATTTCGATCAGTCCAAAATAATTTGTTTTTTTTTTAAAATATGATTATACAATTGAATCACATTTTTTAAATTCATTATTTATAAATTTTTTAATAATAATTAAACTATTTAGTTATATTAATTTTTATTTATAATTATTTTTATTATACAATAATTATTAATATATTTTTTAATTATTTACTACTTATACTTATTTGAATTCTCGTACCTACAATAATATGGACAATTTATTCGGGACGATGGAAATATATATTCATATCATGCTAATTGGGTTCCAAATGTTTATAAAGAATGTAGCACATATTAATATAATATACTATAACAAATATTTTAATAGCAAATTATATAATTATATATAAAAATATAATTATGATTTCAGTACAATCTATCAAGGTCAAATTAGCAAATATTTATAAAAAAAATAGTATGACATATGAATATAATATATAGAAAATATTTAATAGCAAATTATATAATCATATGTAGCAAAATATAATTCTAATTTTCACCATAATATATTCTAATTTTAGCATCATAGTATAAATGTATAATAAACATATTATTCAATTCACATCAAATACTAATACAATATACAACATAACACATTATGTATAATTGCATGTAGCACAATATATATTAATTTTAACACAAAATATAACACACACAATGCATATTTTTATATAACACTACATATAATATTTGTCTTGTGATGATTTGCTGATTACTTCAAATTAGTTTGCTAACTTAATCAAAACCATCAGAATGCTAATATGATCAGAAACACCTTATTGATCGCCCCATAAATATGTATATTTGCATTATTGGAGGGTAAGGTATAGGAACTTATAAATTACATGCGTAAATTTATTATTTTGGAAAACTTTTTTTATTGTATTTTACGTAACAAAATACTGTGCACTTTAATTACACTTAGCACTATATATAAGTATTTTGTTGTAAATTATTAATTCATTTGAAATTACCGTCTATTCGTCAAACAACAAAAATGTTTATTTAAACAACAAAATACTTATAGAAAATAATTTAGTTTATGTCCTTTTTTTTTTCCAAAATAAAGTTTTACTGTGTTAATAAGAAATTGCTATTTTGATAAAGTTGCTTACAATCATTTTTTTTAGTCCATGTTTCTATTTTTTCGTCACATTGAGAATAATTCATGATAAAAATATTATATAGCATATAATGAATATTTACAACACTAATATATGTCATTTTATACGGATGGTTGCATGGAAAATCGATTATACTCTTGTTAGTTTTTGTGTACAAGAGTGTACTTTTTTCATGCATTTCTCATTACAAGCTTGTGAATTGGGGGTTTGTTTTGTCCAATAGGTAATTTCCAAACTCTCCATATTATTGTCTGCCACAACTTTTTGACTAATTCAGGAAGGAGTGGTGTTTAGGTTTATGGACAAAATCTAACCGGAAACAACTTAGTTTGGATAAAGTTTATAGCATAAAGTATGCCCGAAAAAATAATATACGAATATGCATATCATTTTGTAATTTGTAATTTTCAAGCTCTCCATATTAGGTGTACGTTTTTTTTAGTATTTAGGGCTTTTAGGGCCAAATGACCTTGATTGGACAAAACAATATCGTTGATTGATTTATTTGGTCATTTAGTATTTTGAAATATTGTACACGAAACAATAAATTTTGAAAAACAATATCATTGATTGATTTGTTTGGTCATTTGGTATTTTGAAATATTGTACACAAAATTCCTAAAAATAAATTTTTAACAATATTTTTAAAAACACAAGAAAATTTTATTCTTGTTTCCAGCAGTTTCTAAATTATAAGACACAATGTAAATTTTCCAAACGACATGTGGATTATAAGCAATTTTTCCTTTTAATTGTAATGAAAAATTAGACTATATTGGTGTATATGGAAAAAAAAAATCATAATAGAAAATTGATGACTCTATATATGAACATATTCTCCGTTTAATAAAATTTTGTATTACTTGAATTTATGTATAAAAACTATCACAATATCTGATTTATGACATACTTTATTGATCTATATCACTTGGCATGATCCAGAATTAGTTTGTTGAGATTATAACAAATTTTGCCCTTTTAAGCGGTGATTCGGGTCCAGAAAAACTAAGGCATGAAAAGCAAGCGACCACCGCATCCACTCACCAGCGAAGACATCATCGCTCATGCCAGCGATCCAGACACCCACCGCAGCGGAGCGACGACAACTCACTGAAATTAATGCCTAAGTGTCCAACCTGCAGCGGTACAACCATTCCACTACCAGCCAACATTGACGACTCCGCTCAGCTACGCTGATTCCCTCCAACCATTTGGGTGAGCGAGGAAGATCTGTGCCCTTACAAGTCGAAGCAAGTGAAACGAGCACCCTGAGAGTTACGGCAGCAACTGCCCCAACGGTATAACTGCCACCAACTGCCTAACTGCCCAGCGGTTGGAACCACTTCTCAACTGCTTGCAACTGCTATTTCCATTAGCTATAAATAGAGCCATATAGCCATTTGTAAATATATACTTCGAGAGGAGTATACAAGCACTCTATACACACGCATTCTAGTTCTTAGCAGGAATGGCCAGGGGGTTGAGATCTCTCTTCTCCCTTGGCCACATTTTACTGCTTACTTAGTTTTAATTTACCACTTTAGTTACAGCTTTTGTAGAACTAGAACTTTCCTGCTTTGGTGGTAAGTAATGAAATATCATATGTTCTTCATCATCACTTCTTCCATATTTTCACATTTATATAAACTTTAGTTGTAAAAAACTTTAAGTCATTGAGAAAGAACGCAGAAAAATTGATTATCCAAGCATTGTCTTTTTGTCACAAACAAATTCAGGTAGTTCGATATAGTTAAGTACGCGGGAGCCTTTTCGACCTGCTTGATTACTGGTCTAAATTCAATTTTGATTAAAAAGA